TCAATAATTTTTTAACTTTTTGTATATTGATTTTCGTAAAAATGATATTTGCTAGATGGTTATTATTGCTGATACATATCTATTGTTGTCAATTGTTCATAAAATGTTAAATAAAACATGGGATCAATTCGAATCGAAAGTATCTTACTTTGATTGCAATTAATAATTTGAGAATTTGAAACTTTCTTTCCACGAAATCAGAGTTTCGAAACCACCATATATTTTTACACAATGGATTCACCTGATGGATTATATTTGAGCAACCACTGGTGGCCTACCATTATCTTCTGATACTGCCTTGCAACACCAGTTGTTGAATATGAACTTACTTTCTTTTGCAATTTTTCAAATAGAAACGATGGCGGTTGAAATCTTCAATGATAAAATACCTTTTAGTGTCTTTGAAAGTTTGTGAACAAATCTGGAAAGTTGACAAATCTGAAATATATCCATAGAATTTATTATGGCAAATCTAATTCATTATCGAAGAACGACAGGTTGAAATGGCGGAAATACCAAATATTTTGCTTGTTCTATTAAAATATATTTGCCAACTAAGGCTAAGACTTCTTGAAAGTTGATGCATTTCAAAGAAATAGGTGTATCAATCAATGCAAAATTACGTAAAAACTGTATATCCATGTCCAACAGCAGTTCAACACGCGTGAGTATTCATTGGAAACGAATAAGGTTTGAACAGAGATTGCATGTACCTTTAACAAAAGTTTTACTTAACAAGAGTTAACCAGGATTAAGAGATATCTCATTATACTTGAATTGAAATGAAACTATCAAAATTTCATGCTTTTTTTAAACATTTACTCATATCAAGCTCGAATGTGCTGAAAAAAAGATTTTATAATAGAATATTGATAATGGCACTCGATTAAATTCTAGTAGGAAGAGCGTTGTTTTTGTTTGTCGAATAAATGAATTACTTTTTGAAAGTGTTCTCAGACTTACCGAAAATACTAAGAGGATTTATCTCTCGCGAATGCATTCGCATTTCAGAACAAAAATTCGAATGTTTGCGAATGCGACGAATGCGGCTATGACAGTGAACTTGTGACTACATAATTCATTCGTTCATTCGTGTTTGTGCATGCATTCGCAACGCTGCCGTATGATTTATTTTTTCGTATAGCAGTCGTACTATTTCGCTGTTCTCGAACGTTCTCACGAATGCGAGTGCGAATGTTTACATAGAAATCATATGGCAGCGTTGCGAATGAATGGCACTGAGCGCGAATTTGTGAATAAAAATTCGAAAGCCAAACCGACATAGAAGCCCCTAGCGAAAATATCCACAAAATGAACCAACTGTTGACAAACTTTGATCATTTTCCCAGCAAAATCTGACTATTCGACAACGAAGTGGCTCACATGAATTGCTATAAGTAAGTAACATGCGATTACCATAAAATCAGTTGGTGATTTTATTCGCAATTATTATGATTCTAAATAAAAAATGAATGTTTCACTCAGTACGAACGTTTCTCTTGATTAGCGCATTTAAAAATGATATGTCTGTTGTCGTTTTTCTACGTTCAACAGACTTTCCACTCTGTTTCTGAACAGGCTTATTGCTATTTTTCATAGAAAGAATAGAATTTATGAATTTTCCTAACAAGATGATTTAGATTTTAACGACTTATGAAATCAGTGATAACAAATCAACATTACATATACATATATCAGTCACTTTGTACTTAGCGTAATCAGGTGGGAATGAGTTTAACTAAAGTGGAATTGGTTAGCCACCAGAGCCCCGATTGAACGTTTGGAAGGTTTGCGACAATTCTTGTGGATCCATATTTCGAGCACGTTCGGGTGTTAGCTGACGTGGCGTCACCGTTCGTTGGCCTCGGTTCCGTGGCATGGGTGCTGTTTGCATGCTACCGCTTGATTGACTTGCTGATTGACTAGCACTACCACCATTAGCTCCATTTTGACCATCGTCAGAGTCATTGGCGTAGTCAAAGTTTGCTGCTGCTGCTGCTGAACCGTTTGATCTGTTGTTGCGTTGACTGTTTGTTCGCTGACTGCTCGACGATGAACGGTTGCTTGCATTGCTTGTATGGTGGCTTGTTGGCACTTGGAATATTGGTATCATTGCATTGTTGCCATCGTCGTCGTCATCATCGTCATCGTCGTCATTATCACGTCGAGCTGGTGGGCCACCCGTACGCTTAGCAACATTTCGACTTGGGCCAGCTTCTTCACGACGTCGTTTGCTTGTCGATCCACTGCTCGATGAATTACTCAAGACTGTGAAGAGAATGCCGAAAAATGTTCCATTGAAATATGGCAAAAATGTAACAATTCGTTCAAATACATCGTACAGTTTGTGTTTATACACCACCACCACCACCACCACCACCAAATAAGTGAAACTCAAAAATGAACCAGAAACCAAGTATTTCCATCCGAAACTACACTCGTCTCTCAATAAAATGAGGTTATGACAAACGATGTTCAAATTGCCAACTTTGTTATTTTAGCGACAGTTTGAACATATTCAAATTAAAAATTTGACACATCTATCATTTCCACTGAAGTCATGTACAAAACAGCCCACGAGAACTGTTTGAAAATATTTGTTAGGACTCACATGGACGCGATGCATTTGAATATGATGTCGTCTGTTCTCCAGCGCTTCGTGTTGCTTTCTTTGCAGCGATGGCTGCATTTCGTTTTCGTCGATTCAGTTTGGCAAGTGCACGCCTTTTGCAATTACCACAGAATCTTGTGGTTCGACCGTAGTCCGGCTTGTGCTGTCTCATCATCTCTAGCAACTCATTGTTGTTCAATCTGTCCAAATTTTGGGTAGTTTTGCAATATGCACAAGCATCTACGCCGGGAGTTACCTACAGAGTGGAAATGTAAAGTGAGTTTTTACACACAAAAAAGTGACGGAATTCTTTCAAATTCCTTCAATATACGCATTTACAATAAATATCGAAATATTCAGAATATATCGACAGAAAATCACGAACCCTTACCATTTTGACCAAATTGACCAATGTTTCTGTCAGTGCACAGCGATTTTATTCACACCGATTGCATTCGATTTCAGTTGTTATTTCGTGAACGGTTGGCGGTAATCTGGCATAAAAATGCTAGACGAAAGTGACAGTTCCAATGAAATTTCAATGACAGACCGATGGATGCGTTCAATGGTTGTGCTCAAACGGCGTTTTCAAATCGTCGATATTTGAAATGTTTTTTACGTTTTCGCAGCACAAATTTAATATTTTTAAATTATTTTTTTCTCGCTTTTATATCATCCATTTATTTGACAATACATTTTGTTTTAGGATTTATTTGATTTTCGAAGAAATTGGATGTAAAAAAATGTATCACATTCAAGCAAGCGCTGGAATACCGCTGTCAGTGTTGGTTTCGGTAAACATTGTATTTGTGTTGCTGTTGTTCATGGAACCGACTTTTACCGGAATGAGTGAAACACCAACCAAAAAAGGTTCTTCTTGGAATTTATGCAGAGATTTTTATTTTGTTGGGGTTCTAAAGACTTTTTGACAGATCAAGAAGAAATTCTTTGAAATATCCAAAGGATCAAATTGAAACGGAATTTCTTAGTAAATCAAGAAAATGAAAAGTTACTTTGGTAAATCAAATTTATCACAAAATGAATAAATCAATGAGTTTCAGCGTTAAACTTAAAAATAAAACGTCATTTCATATGATTATCAATAATATTTCAATGTTCATATTTATTATTCAATGACAGTATATCAATCAAAGTACAGTAATAGGTAATAATATCTCTCTCTTTCTGTTTCCGTTGATCATTCACGGAACAAATATTTCTGTCTGTTCTCCTATGAATTGTGTGTGTGTTTTATCGAATAAAACTCTGCATATTTGAATATAAAAGGAACGAAAATAAAAACGATGCAAGAAAAACAGGAATAAATTGAAATAGAATTCATCAGTGGATTTTTATTTAAAATTTGTTTTGGGTGATAGAAAAAAAAACAAGGAATTACATTGTAAATAAACAATTTGAATGGAACTTAAGCGGAAAATTCAATCAATCAGAGAAAAATAATAATAATACAATTACACGTGTAAAAAAGAAGTTTTTATCGTTTTTATATGCCTAGACTTTGACTTATGTGTTACTTATTTGTGTATGTGTGCTGATTATCATCTAATAGAATTAGCTAATTACATGCGACCAAACTCTTGTTCTCTCTATGTTTGTCTCATCAAGAAATAAAAGTATGTGTTTGTGTGTGTGTTTTATGATCTGATTTGTGTTTTGTAAATTAAACTTTTCTTTCATTTTCATTTTCATTTATTTTTTTTTGCTTTTGGCTCTCCTTAAAATTATAAGCATAATCACTTCGGTCGTACTTTGTTGCCATTCCGATTCGAATGCATTGTCAATCGGACGTGTTTTCCCTTCTGTTTGACCGATTCGTCATTTGTGCTAACTACATCCATTCGAATCTACAGGCTACAATCATTCCGATTTCATTTTTAGTTCTTCTTCTACTTCGTTTAATTTTTATCCCATTAAACTAATCTAAATTCTATTTACTCGAGACTTTTACCCATCTTGAAACTTATACATCTAGAGAATTGTTTTTTTTTACTTTCAAATAAATCTATTCTGTATTTCATATTTCATTTGTGTTTCTCTCTTTTTTTTAATGATTTTTGTTTGTATGTATAATGTTTGCTTGTTTTTTTTTTTAAATATTTCGACGATGTCTTGGACCCCGGGTTGGTACGCAATTTGGTCGATTGGATATAAAAAGCGTTTTTGCCATGCAACGACATGGAGGTCACAATTATTGGTGTTAATCGCTGTTATCGCAGTTTCGAATGCGTATTTCGAACGTTTTTACTCGAATCCCCCAATTCAAAAAACCGCTCGTCATTCACATTTCCATCCTACTCACTCAAATCACCATCGTCATTTTTGTGTTATCGTTTTACAACTTTTGCAATATTTTATATAACATCTTGGATATAATTTTATATTAAATAAATATTCGCATAGATTTTCTTCTTCTTTTTCGTATGTTTCTTGTGTCAATGTACAAAGTTGAAGGTGTTCTTTTTTTTCCTTCCATTTAGTTGTTCTGTGATTCGGCCATTTTAGCGGCAGCTTCTTCGGCAGCATGACGAGCAGCTGCAGCGGCTGCCAAACGACTTGCTGATGAACGCAGTTCTCGTTTACGTTCTGGCAACACTAGCTCTTGGAAGTCTTCACCTGATCGCGGTCGTTTGCTACGTGTTCGTCGTCCACCACGACCAACATTCTCTTCTTGCTGATCCGATCCTTTTGAGTCACTGCCTTTTGTTTCATCTTTGTCCCCTTTTTCCGCATTCAGCGATGCCTCACTGTCACGCGACGTGTTATTTGATGGAGCCGTTGTACTGACTGGCGTCGATGGAGTCGATTGACCACCATTCTTTGACACTTTTGATGGTGCGATCAAATCCTCAAGATCCATTTCTTGATTTGGGTGCTCCTGTAATGGAGAAAAAAGCGAAGGGATTTAATGAAATGTTCTTTGGGTGAAATATTAGGGATTTCATGGAAACAACAGTTTGGAACTTTGCCTAATGGGGCAGAAAAGATTGTGTTTATTGATAAATACCTGTTCATGTTGGCTTGAAGTAGATGTCTGTCGTTCACGACTCTCACGCTGTTCTCGCTCGATTTCTCTCTCTCGCTCCCGTTCATTGCGCTCACGTTCCCGTTCCCTTTCTCTTTCTCGTTCCCGTTCGTTGCGCTCACGTTCACGCTCTCTATCACTTCGATCACGTTCCCGTGTTTCATGCTATTTTTTACAAGAAGAATTGAATAAAAAAATTAATAAGGGTCAGTACAATTCGATAGTAACAAAATAAACGGTTTTTTCTGTCTTCAATCAATTGGTGTTCACCTGATGTTGTCGCGTTGATGAAGAGCTATCAGATGATTTGGCTGGACTTGGCATTGGTGACATGCTCACCGATTGCTACAAAAGAGGATTTGCCGTTAAAATATTAATCAAGATTGAATGGAATTGAATCGAATCAATTGAAAAAGATTGCAAATATCTGAACCAGATTATCAACCTACCTTATCATACTGTTGGGATGACGGCGATGGAGCGATGGTAATGGATGTTTGTGGTGGAAGGCCGGCAATGCTAGCGGCGGCAACTGGTGAAAGTGTCACCTTTTCAATGGTTGTTTCGTTTGATGTGCCCGCATTCAAGCTAGTTGCTGAAGCGCTTGACCGGTTATTTCTCGTCAATGCTCGCAACTGTTTCTCATCAGCAACAGCGGCTGCCATCAGACTAGCCAAACTGTCGCCTCTTGATTGCTGTGACGAGGATGACATGCGAGAGCGTTTCGATTTGGGTTCATCTAAAATACTACTGTACATCGATGATGCCGCCGACGACGACGTTGGAATTAATGAAATGCCAGAGCCCATACCCAAGTTGCGTGCAAACAATTCCACTTGCGATTTGCTCAATTGATTTATCGCTTCTTTCATTTCTTGCTCGTGATCGCGTTGTTTTTCTCTTTGCTCACGCTGTTGTTCACGATGATCGCGTTGTTCTCTTTGTTCGCGACGTTTTGACGAGGATGATGAGCTGCTTTGGGCGGCTGCCATTTGAGCGGCCATTTCAGCAAACAATGCTTGGCTAAGTTCGGGTGATAACAATTGCGATGGATCTTTGTATGATGATTTCGAGCCCGATGACATTGAAGAACCGGCCAATTTGGTGGCATAGGCTTGCATTGCAGCAAGATCTGGTGGTAATCCACTTCGGCTCAATTGTTCCATCAATTTGAGACGCTCTTTTTCTGCCTTATCATTTCGATTTTGACGTTCCTGCCGCTCTTGCCGTTCTTGTCTCTCGTGGCGCTCTCGATCTTGACGCTCCTGTCGCTCTTGGCGTTCCTGGCGTTCCTGGCGATCTTGCTTAGCTTGTTGTTGTTGCTGTTGCTGCTGTTGGCTTTTGCTTGTGCTACTCGACGACGGACGTCCAGTCAACGCAGATATATCCAAACCAGCTGCACGTGACAACGTTTCCAAGAACTGTGGATCTTGTGGCATTCCAAGCAAACTTTGTAGCTGAGCTGCTTCACGGCTCAATTGGCTTGATGTTGCCGAACTGCTGCGGCCACGACTCGATGGCGATTGTTGCACTTGACTCGTTGGCAATGCACTCGAACTCATTCGCGATGTTGTTGATTTGCTTGAAGATTGTTGACGCGATGAACTTGTGCTTGTCGATGATGTGTTGGTGTTTGATGTGATTCCAGCCGATGAGATTCCATTCAATAAATTGTATTGTTGTGCTAATTGATCGTAGACAGACATATTCGAACTCGACGACGAAAACGGATTTAGGCCACCCAAACCCATTGGTGTGTACAATGTATTCGGGAACATGCTAAATGGATTGCTTGGATCCAACGAAAAGCGTCCTAATGCGAGAGAAAAATTCGTTTTTTATTAGATGAAATTGACCAAGAAAAAATTGACAACAAAATCATAGAAAAATAATATATTTTTTTGAGTTAGTTCAAACTTGGTTCAGAACATGCAAGGATAAAATCCAATTAAAGTTTGAAATAAATTTCAAGCACTCACCACTCGATGATGACTTAGACGATTGTTGTTGATTCGACGACGAACTGGATTGTTGCGACTGTTGTTGTTGTGCCGCTACTGAACTTGATTTTCTCTCTTTGCTCGAAGTCGATTGTTGGTTCGTGTTTGTTTTGCCCAAATTGCCTAAGCTCGCAAGGCTGCCCAGATTTCCCAAATTACCGAGATTACCCAAATTCGTTCCGGCCATCGTAGCTGCCATTGCAGCCAAATTTTGTGGATCCAAACCGGCGAAGCCTCCTAATCCAGCCAAATTAGCAATCATATTCATGTTCATGTTGTTCAAATTGCCCAATCCGCTCATGCCGGCCAGATTTGGTAAACCAGCGAATGGCATTGAAAGCAGTGGATTTTTCGGGTCAAAGCCGCCAAGTGACAAACTTGACAGCACACTTGGATTCAAACCAGTGAGATTGGCCAATTGTTGCATTTGCGCTGCAGTTGCTGCATCCAATGCCGTTTGTCGGCCTTTCTTCGATGATGATGATGATTGCGACTGTGATTGGCTTGAGTAGTTCGATCCATGTGGATTTGATGCACTCGCCGATGATGCGCTGTGTTGTTGTTGTTGCTGCTGTTGCTGTTGCTGTTGTTGCTGTTGTTTCGATGAGGGCATGCTCATTGACAACGTTTCGCTAGCCTTTGCTGTTGCTTGCAACAATTCAATCCATTTTGGATCGATTTCATAGGCGGGATTTTCAGTGAGCCATTGACTCAAACGTTTCAATTGCGGTGCTTTGCTGCCGCTGATACGTTTACCAGTGAGTTTGTTGATAACAGCCACATTTTCTTCGCCCGTCAAATTCTTCATTGCATTCAAAGCCGCTTGATGGCTCATCGCTTGTTGTTGTTGTTGTTGCTGTTGTTGGTGACTGGAGTTTTGTGAGCTCATCTGCTGTGATTGCTGTGAACCGGTTTGAGTTTGTTGACGTGTCGAACGACGGAAATCACTTGCCGATTGTGCATGCGATGCTTCCGAATGACGCTTCGATTCAAGTTCTAAACTTTGACGATTCGCTTTGGCTTCTTGAGCAGCAGCGTATTTAGCACTGGAAGATGAAAAAAGAATGGAATTAATAAATTTTGCATCAATGTGGAAAAAAATGATTAGGAAATCTAATTTTATCACATACTTTTGCTCAGCAGCTTGTTTCATCTCAGCCAAAATAGCCTCATATGTCTTGCGTTGCACTGAGTTTGGTGGTAATTGCTGCAGTAATTTCTGTTGTTCTTTGAAGAATGCTTGCGATTGAGCCAAAATTTCCTTGGCCGATGCTCCTTGCATACTACCAAATGGATTGGCGCTTGCACTGCTGCTACTTGCACGAGCACTCGAGCTTGCGCCCGATGTTCCCATCATCATATTTTGTAATGCAGTCAGATTTGTATTGCCTTGATTTGCCGAATTTTTCGACGATCCTATTTCAAATAGAGGGATTGAGAAATTGTTAGATTGATGATGACGATGAAAAATCATTTTTTTTTTCCAAGAAAATATTGATAATTGTCATTTGATACGAAAGTCAATTTTATGTCTTCCCTCATAAAATTCTAAACCAATCAAAAAGTGTTAGTCAAAAGAGTTTCTTACTTGTATTTGAGCCTGGAACACTGGTAACAGTAACGCTGAATGGTTTCTGTGACGATGTTGATTGGCTGCTCAAAGCGGATGGACCACTGGCCGGTGTAACGGACACTGATGGTGGAATTTGTGCCTTTTTCGAAGATGGTGACGAAAGCAATGGATCACTGAATGTTTTCTGTTCTTTTGCTGCTGATAAACCGAAAACAATTTCGTCGAGTTTTCTCTTTCGCTTTTCTTTGCCACTGGCCGGAGGAGGCTCTTCGTTTGGTGTTGGCTGTAAGCAAAAAAAAATCGTGGAAATTTAGTTAAGTTACTGAATTCATTTTTACTTTCTTCCAAGGTCAATGAAAAAAAAAACTTTGTAAAGATCTAGTTAGATCTCCCCAAGAAAACCAAATCAAACTTACGTAATTGTTTTTCTTCATCAATTTGGTCAACATGTCGTCGAGTTTGCCTTTACCACCACCACCACCGCCACCTAATGGTGATGCGCCGCTTGATTTCTTTGAAATGGAGAAATCTTGTACTTCGCTGAAATCCATGACGCCGCTCTTCATTGACAATCGATCTTTCATTGGTTTGCGACCGGACGAAAGGTCCAAACTGGCTGAAAGATCGATTGGTGTCAATGTGCTTGATGTGCCCGGAATGCGTGCCGACATTGTCGATTTTGTACTGTAATTGGCCGCTTGTTGTTGTTGTTGTTGCTGCTGTTGCTGTTGTTGCTGTTGTTGGTTCGAACCGGATCGGCTCAAATGTGATTGATGTTGATGTGCTGGTGGTGGTTGCATGGCGGATAACGAACGTTTCGCACTCTTTGGAAGAATTTCATCATCCGTCGGCCAGTTCATTGGTTTGCTTTGAACCGGTGTTTGTGGTGCCGAACCGGGCATTGAATCTTGTGAATTATTCAAAAGTGCATGCAATTTTGCACGCTCCGTTTCCACATCGATTGCAATGTGTCGCTTGCGTTTCTTGCCACTTGTCGGCAACACCGGCATTTGCATGTTGGTGTATTTTGTATTCGGCGATGGAATCGGCAATACTGATGCCGGCGATTGCATTTTCTTTGTGGCAGTTAAATCTCCCGAAATCGATAACAAATCTGGTGTTGATCGGCCGACCAAGTCAATGGTTGGTGGCATGTGTTTGACAGTTTCATGCAATGGAACATCCAAATTGATGCCTTGGCAACCTGCATAGGCTGAGTATGATTTATTTACTGGCCATTCCGAATGCTCGATGCAATGGACGATGTGCGAAACACGTTTCTCCAATGCAAAATCGTGGAACCAGCGAATCTTGACTGGATTCTCGAACTTCAATCGAGTTTGTTGCAACAGTTGTGCCAATTGTTGGTTTTGCTTTTCAATGGATGCCTTCTCTTTTTCGTGCATGACTTCGTCATCGTCGGGATCGCCTTTGCCCACGATCATTACATCGTCATCGTCATCAAGAATAGTCACGCAATTCTCATCTTGCGCTTTCTTCTCTTCAACTTTGACTGGGCTCAAGACTGGCTTCACATCTTCAATTGATTCAACCTTTGATTCAGCTGTTGGCTCTTCCTTTTCAATTAGTTCGCTTTCGGCTTCTTTCTCTTGTTTAATTTCTTCCACAGCGACTGATTCCTCCTTTTCAGTGGCTGGTTGCTCTTTTTCTGTTTCTTTTGGCGATTTCGGTGGAACAACCTCAGCGATTTCGTCTGCAATTTTGACCGAATCCTCGGTTTCCATTGGCTCCTGTGGTTTTGGTGATTTTGGCTCGGCTTCATCAGATTTTTCCTCAACCGTTGGTTCGGCAGTTTCGGTTGTTGCCTCTTCTTTTTCGCTATCAGCAACAGTTTCGGCTTTTTCAACCGATTCTGTCTTTTCAGGCTCTAGTTCAGTTTCTGGTTTCGGCGATGCTGGTTTGACCGTTTCTTGCTCATCTTTTGGAGATTCTTTTTCAACATTTTCAGCTTCAGTGGCTTCGGTGGCCATTTCGATATCGGCCGTTTCTGTGTCGGATTTTTCTTTTTCCTCTTCGACTGTTGGAACTTCAGCCTCTTTTTCAGTAGATTCACTTTCAACTGGTTTTTCTGGTGACTGTGGTGTTTCTGTTTCTGTTTCGGCAGTGTCCATTGGTTCGCTATCATCAGCTTCTTCTTTGTTGTCTTCGTCTATTTTCAATTGCTCTTGTGGCTTTGGTGATTCGACCTCAGCAATTGGTTCTTCGGCCGATTTTTCTTCGGTAGCCTCTTCCTTTTCAACATTTTGAACACTTTCTTCCTTCTTTTCACCGTCTTGCTCTTCCGCAGCAGCTGCTGGTGATTTAACTTCAGCGATTGCCTCATCAGATTTTGGTGTTTCTTCGGTTTCGCTTGGTTTCTCATCGACGGCAGTCATTTCAATATCGGTCTTTTCGGTGCTTGGCTCCTCCTTTTGAACCTCAGATTCAGCGGCTGGTTTTTCTTCTTCAGCTTCTGTGGTTGGTTTGTCAGTTTCAGTTGTTTCGGTCTCTGGTTTAGCCTCTTCTGTTTGCTCTTTTTCCGTTTCTTTCTCTTCACTTGGACCACTTTCTTTGGGCGTTCCTGGTTTTGCCTCATCGCTTACTGTCTCCGGTTTGGCACTTTCAACTTCAACCACTTTAGGCTCTTCTTTGATGCTCTCTTTCGGTGGTGTCGACGGTACAGCTTTGATTGGTTCCGATTTCACCAATAATTTGGCCGCCTCAGCTTGTTGTGCTAGGATCCATTGTTTTTCAAGCATTTCCAGGTAGGCACGTTCGGATGCCGCAAAACTGAACTCGTGATCAATGAAGATATTCTGTTGTGATTGATAAAGACCGTGCTTCATCACAGCGCGAACCAATTCACGATCGTGTTTGCCAGACTCCCACCAGTCGGGTGTGTCCAGATTGTTCTGGCACAAATTCAAGCGTTCGTCATTCAACGCAGTTTTACCAACTTCTTTGAGTTTCGACAACAATTCCAAGCGATCCAATATCAAACGTGCATGATCTTCGCTAATGTCCTCAATGACGCCTTCCAATCCTTTCTCCTCTTCGGTCAGGCGAACATTTGCTTGTCGCTTGCACATCGCAATGAACACTTTGTAGTAGTCACTGAGTGCTTCGTCACTTTTGCGATCCAATTTCGCAATGGCTCGGAAACGTGACCAATCGGGTGTTGGAATGGCCACTCCAATTTGCAAATCGACACCATAGCCGGTGAGTACACGCAAAAATTCATACTCCTCACGTTTGTTCCATTTCTTTGGAATAGTTTCCAAGCGAACGCGTTCACGTTCTTTGACCGCCTGTTCGATTTTCTCGCGTTTTTCCATTTTCTATACGAAACAAAGAAAAAGAATTGAATAAGATAAAAATTTGTCATTTTTCTTTGCATTTTTTGCAAAAATGTTGCAGCGAATGAAAAAAAGAATGGAAAATAATTTACAAATATCGGAATGAAAGTGTTATTAGGTTTATAAATCGTGTTGGGATAAATATATATGTTTGTCTGTATTATGTTATTTGTTGAGTAGAGTTATCACTGTGAAAATAAACCACAACATCGACAATAAAAGTAAACACACACACAATTTCGAAATGATTCTGTTTTTTTTTGTACAAGTGTGAATGAAAATCGGTAACAGGTAATTGAGAAGAAATGTTAGCAATAAAAAAATGGACAAATTTGGTCTGAAGTGAGTATTATGTTATATTTTTTTTAAATATGCATTTATGCGACAATTTTGTGTCTGAAAATAAAAATAAAAAGCTGTGTAGATATAGACTCGTGTGCACTTAATCCCACGATAAAATGTGCCAACGAGTCACAATTGGAAGTGTGAAAATATAAACAAATGAAGTATCAATAAGCCATAAGTAAACAATTTTGTTGAAAGATGAGAAAAATGCGCTGCTCAAAAAAGTCTGCTTGTTAATTGGATTGGATTGAAAAAGTTTGATATCCGTTTGCAATTTACAATCAACCTTGTGATATTTTTTTCTCTTTTGTTTTCTTCTTTTTCGATTTTTTCAAGAGTTTTCATTTGAATCAAAACATTTTCTTTTCTGATCAATTTTTTTTTCTCCTTCGATTCGAATTTTTTCATCTTTCAATCTATTCTTCGCCCAATTTCGCAATTTAATTCCCACTAAAGCCAATTTGATATACACAAGATGGATATGTTCCCAAATTTCAAGCTTAAAAATAAATTTTAACTATAAATCTAGTGGTCTAATAATATACAAAATGATAGAATGCATGCCGTTCAAAGGGAAGGATCGAAATGCCAACAAAAAATTTCGAAGCAACCAGCCAAAATACAAAGCGATATCAAGCACTGAATGTATAAAAAGTGATGCTAAACAATTTCTTTCTATACAAGCAAAGAAATTTCGAACAAAAAAGCGAAGCAGTTATAAACAAAGATTATGTGTCTTAGCCGAATGATTGAACAATGAGTTTGGAATTATGAATAAAAAATTGTAAGTAATGGAATTTGGTTTTTTTTTTGATTTGGTATGGAAAGAAAAACAACAACAACAACAACAAAACAAATTGGAAGTAGTGTTTTTTTTAAATTTGATATTTGAGTTTGAATGTGTATGTTCTTGCTTTGGAAATGTAAGTAAAATTATATGTAAAAAAATCAAATGGGGGGATGAGAGATAGAGAGTATCACAAAAAAAATGAAGAATCACTCTTCGGGATGGAATGAGTGATCCGAGTGGTGAGCATAGGCACGTGTTCACGTTTATTGTTTGTTACTAACCAAGTACATGGCCAATTTCTTGAGATCCCAATTTCCCAATTGCAATGTTTCGTTGGGCGGTAGACCTAAGCCGAGACTATTCAGCATTAAGTTTATTTCGGCTGCAGTCGGTTCTTGTTGCATTTGGGATTGTTGTTGGTGTAATTGACCGACGACGACCCGTTGTGTCGTTTGTTGTTGTTGTCCGGACGGCACAATTGGTGGTATTTGCGCCGTCGACGTATTCACTAACTTCGTTTGCGTCGGTAGCCCTTGAATTGGCTGTTGTTGTGGCAATGTTACAAGCGCTTGTAGCTAAAGACACACATGGTATATCAAAAATTATAAAAAAAAACAAATACTGCAACATTCTTTCTCTTGTCACACTTTTTTGCAAGTGATATTCAATTGATATTATTTGTTTTGACTTAATTTTAATTTAATTTATTCTCATTCTTCTTTTTCTCTTTTTTTTTGGTTTTTGTCTTGTGGTGCGCGCAAGTGATTTCAAAATAAAAATGTAACAAAAAAATAAAAGTAAATGAAATTTTCCTTTGGAATAATAACACATGCATCGACCAAATCATAAGTTCTAATCATATTCACCCTGTTTTTTTTTCTAAAAATTTACAAGTAAATTTTCTAAACAAACGAACAGATCCAGAAACAATTGCACAAACTCAGAAATAATAATACAGAAACCATACGAACTACAACTGGTTTGTTTTTGTTTTGCTTTTTGATATGTCTTTTTTTTTGTTGGTCAGGATTGAAAAATACGGATAAAATAATGGTTTTTTGCCAATTTAGAAAAAGAGAGAGACGTAAATCAACGAATAATAAAAAAAACAAATAGGAAAACAGCTGAAATAATATCAAACTAATTTATAAAAAAAAGTGCGTTCCAAATAGATCTGATATACTATATTTTGTGTGATCGTGTTTTGGTGTGTACTTTCGGTGCGAAATATTCTCAGTAAAAATTGTTCATCGATTTGGTTCTTTTTATTTGGTTTTGTCAACTATCATCCCTAACTAAGAGTTCTTTAATAAGATTCTCAAAAGTGCTTCGAGGTAGACAGATTGTGTGAGATAAAATGAAATGGATGGAAATAGTTTACCTTGGCCTTTTGTTGTTGCTTCAATTCCTCCTTTTTGTAGTTGCGCTGGTATGAAGTGATAACGCGTCGCAACCGAGTGTTTAGATCTTGCATTGATGGCCAAATCAGGCTATCGGCTGGAGTTTCACCAGTTACGCTACCAGCCACACTTGGAGCACCTGCTATGCTTTCGACCTCATCATCAGCACCTGGTTTTTTTTTCAAAGAAGGAGGAAAGGTATAGCTTAGATTGGTCGAATTCAATTTTCGATGGAATAATTTTATCAACGATTTCTTTTGTTCATTTTACATGTAGAATGGTTTGATTGTCTTGGATTTTTTCAATCAAAATTTTGACAAATAAAATGATTTAAACAATAGAAATTGCATCCTACCTGATGAATTTGGTCGTTCGGCATCAGTTGCCTCAGCTGGCTTATTCTCACCGGTTTCCATCGGTTCTGCAGTGCTTTCGCTTGGTTCCTTGCTTGGTGTTTCTTCGGCTGGTTTTTCACCATCTTTTTCGGTATCGCCCTCTTTCTCAGCCTCCTTCTCAGCCTCCTTCTCACCCTCTTTTTCGGATTCTTTCTCCTTTTCTTTGTCTTTGTCTTTTGTCTCAGATGATTCTTCTTCAGTTTCTTCCACATTTTCAGTTTTTGATGCAGCATCCTCTTCGATTCTGTTATAGAAATTTCGAGTTAGTTTATCGAAATATGAATATAAAGAGAATGCAATACAAAGTTTAGGTTTAGTTTTTAGTTTTTTATTCTCAAATTTTCTAAAAGTCAGATGTTCTAGCGACTTACGGTATTGGTGCTGGTGCCGGAAGTGTATCTTCTGGTCCAATGTGAGAGACAAAGCAAAGGCATGGATCACATCGCATCAAATAGTAGTTCTCACAGCCGTGTTTGAATGTGCCAACCAAAAGACTCTTATCGCAACATTTTGGAACCCACCAGCTCGTCGGAGCTGGATCATTGGTTGGTGGTGGATCCACTGGTAAATCACTGGAGAAATTTTTTCATTAGTATTTCATTTATCATTCAATATTTTAAAATGTTTCATGAATTTCATGAAATATTTTTTTTTTATCGGAAACGCATTTCTTTCCGTTTTGAAATGAAAATGAATAAAAAATACTTACGCCACTTTGCCACCGTCGAGAATTTGTTGGACAGCATCGCCAATCACTTCATGTTTGATATAGTACAACATGCGTACTCGAAGTAAAACCCTAAAAATTGACACAACATAAAATCAAACAAAGAAAATAACGGAAAGAAGTAACGAAAAGCAATTAATTTTTGATCTTCATTTGGGCGAAAAGATACGAAAAATAGTGGAAACATTGTCCTCGCATTGGATATGATGTTTACAAACTCACTTGTTGGCGTGTCGTCCCAAGTGTTTTTTGTATGGTGCCTCTAAACAAGCCTCAGCATCGTATTTCTCGTCTTTACTCCAGTGATTTGGATCGTCCAATGTTGGCACACCACCAGTCACAATTGGTGCTGGTGCTGGTGCTGGAGGAGGCGGCGTTGCCGATGCTGTTGCCACTGGCGGTGGTACTGCTGTTGCTGTTGCTGTAGCTGCAGTCGCAGTCGCAGTTTCTGGATTCGTCACATTGGTTGGATTGACTTCCGGTGTTTTTGCTTCGGCTGGTTCTAAAAATGAAATTTATGATTTAGGGGCCATTTTTATTGAAAAACAAAAAATTCATTGAAATAGGTAGAAACAAATGAAGTTCGATCTTACGGCACTCACTTTCTTGCGCTGTCGATGTAGTTGGGTTTGGTGTTGACGGAGCCGATGGTGTCGATGTGCCGGATGTGGATGCCGTTGCTGAAGTGCATGGCGTTTGGCCTCCTTCCTTTATGCCTTTACCACCTTTACGTCCTTAAAAAAAATAGGTTCAAATCCAAAAACAAAAAAATGCGGTTGAAGTTGAAACGAAACATATGAAAATGATAAATACAATGGGAAAAGCCAGATGTCAAACAAAGTACAATGAGAGAGAAAAAGTGTGGGTAGTAAAGAGGACACAAAGCATTAGAAATTAAGCAAAACAGTAAAGCAAATAATGAGAATCGAAAATGAACCGGATTTGAATCGACGAGAGAGAGAGAGAAAAAGAAAATTTCATGAGTACATTTTGTAATTGACTCAAATTGATTTGGTTTTATTTCAAAATTCACGTCATACCTTTGGCATTGCGACCGCGTGGCACCAAATTATGCAAACCGCTGTGATTGCGGCTGATAATATTTTCACCACATTCATTGGGCGATATTAAGTCCCAAATGAAATTTTTGATCTTCTCGTCACCACGGTATACTTGTAGGCAGAACAACAGCTGTAATGGAAAATAGAAACGTTAAAAATCCACTTCGAAGCACTAAATAGAAAACACTTCAATTTTTCATCGGAAATAATCAGATAACATTTGAGAAGTTGTTTGAGTTTTAGTCAGCGAAAGCCTTGAGCTTTCTAATTATTAGCATGAGTATCATCATTTAAACGAAAAAAAATTTATCGTTCGATTAAGTGCATGTGTTTTGTTCTTTTTGTTGGTACTTACAATGATTCTGGCACAGTTTTCAATGTCGGACTCTTGCCAACCGCGCTTAAATTGGCCTTGCACCAAGATTTCGCTCCAACGACCCCAACTGGAATTCGAAGAAAAACAATGCAAAATCAGTAAAGCGAGAAGCAATAAATTTATTATGGAAAAAAAATCATGAATATTTTGACCACTCACCCGAATGATAATAGTCCCTTTTCGATTTTGAAGCACTCGGTTCGTGCCCAATTGCCATAGGTAACGTCTTCGGTGACGCATAGCATTGGTGGAATTTCGATGCGTTCGCGTGACGGAATGTAATCTTCGATGACTTTATTACCACGTCGTTTATCCTTGCGACGTTTGCTGCGCAAGCCAATGCCACCTTCTTCGTCCGTCTCTGAGTTTTGTGACTCATCCGAGATACCATCTAGAACACCCTCATCATGACCGTATCGTTTGATCTGTGTACGACGACGTGGTTCCGAAATGACCAAATTTTCTTCATCGTCACGCTCCACAGCGTCCGGATCGATTTCGGCTCTCTTAGCCCATTTGTTCCAGAAATCGGGATCATCGATGCCAATATCAGCACGATTGCCCGTCGCCGCGAATGTTGCCTTCGAGAAAGTCGATCCCTTTTCACTTTCCATCGTAATAACTTGTGTGCGTCGCATTAAAATCGATTCAATATCTTCTTCACAGAATTTATCAGCGGCATTGTCATCGTCCATGACAGCACCGTAAGCACCACGTTTCAATAAATCTTCGATTTCTTTTTTCGTCAATTGACGGCCAGTGTTTTGAGTTTTGTCATTGCCCAAATTACTGTTCATGCTTTGCAAGAGAGCTTTGTCCAAACCGAGTTTCATCGATGCCTTGTCGAACATCTCACGTTCGTATGTGTTGCGACACAGCAATCGATAGATTTTCACCAATTTCTGTTGGCCAATACGATGGCAACGCGCTTGGGCTTGTAAATCGTTCTGTGGATTCCAGTCACTGTCATAAATGATGACAGTATCGGCAGCGGTTAAATTAATACCCAATCCACCGGCTTTTGTACACAACAAAAAGACAAATCGATCGGAATCCGGTTTGGAATAACGATCGATGGCAGCTTGACGTAGATTACCACGAATACGACCGTCAATACGCTCGAATGGATACTTTTTGTAGATGAGATAATCCTCGAGAATGTCCAAGCAACGAACCATTTGACTGAAAATCAGCACACGATGTCCGTTTGCCTTTAATTTTGGCAGTAATTTGTCGAGTAGCACCATTTTACCCGCCGATAAAACCAAATTCTTGTGATATGAATCAGGATCGTCGTTACTTTCGTATTGAATTTGCTCTTCGGCACCGTTCAGCAAATACGGATGAATGCAACATTTTCGCAATTCCATCATTGTATTCATGAGATTTGGCAAATTCTGTGCGGTCGTTCCTTTTTTCAGGAACGAAAAGTTTTGCTCCAAAATACCACGATAGTATTTCTTTTGGATGTTTGTCAACTCCACCTCGACAATGGTCTCGGTTTTTGGAGCCAGCGATTTTTCGACATCATCTTTCAACCGACGCAACATCATTGGCTTCAACAGAGCTTGCAATTTCTTGACCTCCTCTTCATTCCGCAAATTACCGAATTCACTCAAGAACGATTCGTTGCATGCAAATTGTGACGGTTCCAAGAAGTTGAGCAATGAAAACAGTTCATTGACATTGTTTTGCAACGGTGTTCCCGACAATAGCACACGATGCTCCAAATTCAATTGACGCAAACCTTCCAATAATTTGCAGTTGCGATTCTTCAATCGATGAGCTTCGTCGATAACGCACACACGCCAGTTGAAGTTACGTAAATCATTGTGATCGGACACAATAATTTCGAATGTTGTAATCAACACATTGAATTTACTCATATCCTTGATTGTTTTACCGCTGTCGGTTTTGTAGTAAAATTCATATTCACCGATCATCTGTTTGCTTGTCATGGAACCATGATAAACAATGACATTCAAATCGGTCCAACTCTCAAATTCACGTTGCCAATTCGGAATCGTCGACAATGGGGCAATCACCAAAAATGGACCACGAATTCCATACGAATGGCACGAATGTACAAATGTCAAACTTTGAATCTGGAAAATTGAAATTAAAAAAAAAGAAAAAAAAAATTTAGAAACGTGTGCGATTTTTAGTGTGTTTGGTTCGTATCTACGAAACATTTTAACTCACGGTTTTTCCCAATCCCATCTCATCGGCTAGGATACAGTTGTGGCTGTTGTACCAGGAGAATTTCAACCAATTCAAACCTTCCAATTGATATGCTCGAAGTGTGTTGTTATTTTTGTAAACCGGTGATTCGTCCAATTTACGCCATTGTTCGGGCGTTGGCCGTCGCTTCGGCTTCCATTTGTCTTTCGGTGGTATTTTATTGAATCGATAGTATTCTTCGATTTTTTTCTCTTCAACATCATCTTCCAATTCCCATGTGCAATCTTCATATGGCAGTGATTTCCACTTGACCAAGAAATTCTTTGTCTTTTTGCCCGTCACTGGGTCCTCGTGCTCCGACATATCCAAAACACGATCGGTTTCGACAAAGTCCGGATTGAATGGTTCATCTTCTAAATTATCGAAAATGTTAAACTGTTGCGCACGTTTCATTTCGAATCGGCGAATTTTGGCGCTAACACGACGATCACCCTTCAACAATTCTTCTTCGGTGCGCCATTCGCAGTGCAAATAGGAGAAATTCCGGTATTTCACATAGTATTCATCGACTTCAATGTACACTGGCTCCGGTTTTATCTCTTCTATAGCTTCGGCTTTCACTTCCGTTGTCTCGTCTTTGTTTTCGTTGGCAGCACTTTCTTCTGATGCTTCAGTTTTAACTTCGTCAGATTTGACCTCATCAGTTTTGGCTTCTTCTTTTGGTTCAGCACTGTCGGTTTCCATTGGTTGTTCCTCGCTAGCTACTTCACTTTTTTCAGCAACATCTTTGTTATCGACGGAAGCGATGGCGGCATCATCTTTAACCACGTTTTCGCTTTCAGGTTTGGCAGTTTCTACTTCGGTTGGCTCAGTTGACTCTTTCACTTCATCAACTTCCATTTTTGCTTCCTCTGTCTCTGTTTCTGGCTTAGCTTCAGATTCCACTGTGTCAGTTTCCATGGGCTTTTCCTCCTCAGATGGTTTTTCAGCCTCAACCTTTTCAGCGTTTTCTTCTGTTTCGCCCTTCTTTTCAACACTTTCGGTTGTTGGTTCGCTTTCAGCACTTGCTTCATCGGTTTTCTTTTCCGTATCATCGCCAGTTGGCTCTTTTTCTTCACTTTCTACTTTTGTTTCTTCAGATCCTTCAGTTGGAGGTTCAGTTTTTACATCGGATTCACCATCTTCAGTTGGCTTCGCTTCACCGTCCACTTTGTCCGATTCTTTCGATTCTTCCGATTCCTTTGTTTCGTCAGCAGCCGTTTCAGGCTCTTCTTTTTTGATTTCTTCAACTGGTTTTGGTGGTGGGTCTGGGATCAACTCACGTTTGCCACGACGACAACACAACACAAATTGAACAACCATCGAATCCTCTTCGGCTGTGTTCACATACACATAGTTTGGTTTGTTGGGCTCAATGACCGGTTCGACTTTTTCAACCTTCACTTCTTCGGTGCTTGTTCCTTCTTTTGGTTCTGTAAATCAGATGAAATCGAAATATTTTCCATTAATCGAAGCCCAATCGATCATTAAAACAGGTATAAAAGAAGAAAATATTCATGAAAATTACCTGTAACATCTTTATTTTCGGCAGCTAATGCTCCATCGCTGGCATCCGTGACCTCAGCCATCTTCTCGCTGGATTTCTTCTCTTTTTTGGTTGGCGAAATGATTTCGGACTCTTCATCCGAAATGCTAAGCATAACATCATCGATGTACTTTTTGCGCTGAGTGTTTCGAGCCGATCGTCTCTTTGAACTGTCCAAATCAGCGTCTGGTGGTGGTGATGGAGGCGGTGTTGTGACCAAATCATCACCTTCGCCATCCGATTCGACTATAACACGAGCACGACTACGAGCAGGTTTCTTACCACTGCGACCAGCTGAACCTCGACTTTTGCGACTTCGGCTCGATCCTTTGCCACCGCTCGATCGCCGTTTGCTTTTTGGCGTCGATGTTTCAATATCGGTTTGCTCACTTTCAGCTTCGCCCTCTTTCTTGGCCGCCTCCTCTTGCAAACTCTTCACTGAGATTTTCGACACAGGAATATCATCAAAATCAGGGGTATCATCATTTAACGATGAGTCTTTCGGTGCATTTTCATCACCCGCATTCGTATCGTCCAATGTTTGATTCAATTCACCAGCCTCTCCAGTTGAAACATTCACATTGTCCGTTTGATCCATTTGTTCATTTTGTTCGCTTTTGTCGCGCTTACTTCTGGACTTTTTCTTTGGCTCATTCGGATCTTTCTTTTTGCGCTCTTTTGGCTCTTTCGGTTCTTTAGCCTCCTTTCGTGAACGTGATTTGCTTTTCTTCGGCTTTTTGCCATCGGCAGTGGTCGATGTGTCCAATTCGTTAGTGCCATCTTGTGAGCCCTCCTCATGCACATCCGTCATTTCGTTGATGATATCATCGGCAGCCAAGCCAGCTCCTTGTGTAACACAGTCTTCAGAAACGGGCAATTGATCCGTTGATTTGATGGTTGAATTTATATCACCCAAATCAACATTACCATCGCCAGGCGATTGTTGTTTATCGGATTTCTTTTGTCGTGGCTTACGTGGTTTACTTGAACCGCCACGGTTTCGGCCACGACCCGTTGTGCTCGACACCTGTGGACTCTCAATCATCGGAACGGTCATCATTGGATTTAGCAGAACACATTGTGGTCCACCCAGGCATTGTTCATTTGTTTCGTGTTGCTGCAACAATTTCAATCGATCGTCAAGACGTTTGATTTTATCCAGTACATCCGGTGTTGGTGGAATACAGTACAATTCGGATAATTGTTGTTGTAACATTTGTTTTTCCGTGTGATGGATCATTGGTGGCGGATAAGCGTGTTGCATCATGCCTGGATGCTGTGGAACATAGCCGGCATTTGGATTTTGCATTTGATTATTATCACCCAAAACAGTTGTTTGTCCATTGCCCGGCGGCGGCAACGAGAATTGTGAATGATTCGACGATTGATCGAATGGCATTGATTGTGACTGGGAATCTTGTCCAATCACACCTTCGATGGGCAAACTTGTGTTAGAGTTGTTTGAAAATGTTATCATCGGATCGATAATTTGTTGCTTGTCTGCTTCGGGCGCTTGTTGCATCGCATTATCATTTTGTGACATTGTATCAGTTAATCCGTTGTTGGTCAATTCACCTTGTGCCGAATCGTTGCTCATCGATTGTTTGCTCGATTCAAAGTTTGCCGTAATAGCCTCTTGACTGCGACTGTCATCCGATTTCGGAAGCGCCACATCGTCCAATCGATTCAACGATGGATCTACCGACATTTCGGTTTCCATCGCTTTAATCGGATCATTGGCCACACTCAACAACGACGGGGTGTCGAATGCCTCCGACATTCGAGGTAAATGCGTTTCACTCTGATCTTGTACCGCGTCTTTTTGTTCAGGCTCTGCCAGAATTGGCATTTGTTGTGGCGCCGATTGTTGTTGCATACCCATTTGCGAAACAGCATTCGTATTATCACTCATGCTATTGGATAATGACATTGATTTGTCCATTAGCGATGCATGTGAGTCGGTCGTTTGCATGGTGTCCACACTCGATTGCATGTGCGACAACACTGGCGTTACAATCACGGGCGGAATTGGATCGGCAATGCTTGCAAATGGATCCAGTAAATTCGCGCTCGCACTGATCACGGAAGACGTGGAATTCATGCTTGGCAAACTGGAGATTGGATTGAGAAATTGGAAGAGAAAGTGATCGAAGTGAGTTAGAAAAATTGCAGTTTAAATTTTTTTATTTTAAACAATTGAATTATTAACCAAAGAATGGATCAATCTTTTTTTATTACGTATTATTTTAATTTGAAAATATTTTAAATGTTAATGAATCCTGACTAAGCGTCACTACCAACAATATCAATTCCAATCGAAAATTATTACCTTTGCGTGCTGTTCATTGGATCGATGCTGGTTGGAATATTTGGGGGTTGCATGTGCATGTGATCCATTTGAGTGAGTGTGCTATCGGTTTGTCCCATGCCGGCCATCATTCGACTTTGTGGCGCACTGTGTTGTTGTGCTTGTCCTCGATTAGATGACATTACGCTCAATTCGTTCATTTGTGAAACGTTGGGCATTTGTTGTTGTGGTTGCATCATGCTCATTTGTGCCGTTTGTTGGTGATTCAAGCTGCTCATCGCACTTCGATTCATCGCGGGCCATTGTTGATGATGTTGTGGAGAGGTTGACAACGATGGAATCGATGGAAGCGATGGAATCGAGGGAATCGATGAAATCGATGGAATCGAAGGAATCGATGTCATCGGTGACAATGGATTTGCGGCGGCATTGTGTTGCATCTGTTGTGGCGATGGACGGTATGACGATGCATAATCCATGTTCGACGTTTGCATAACAGAGCCAGGCGCTACAGACGGTGGCATCACCATTTGTTCAAGCGCTTGTAATGTCGACACGGATCCGGTTTGTTGTGATGCCGCCACATTTTTCGATGCTTGCTGTTGCAGTTGTCGTGGCTGTGGACTGGGTCCACTGCCAGGCAAATGACCATGCGGTGACAATGGATTATTGGATACGTTCTGTGGTTGCATCGGTTTAGCCGGCGACATAACATTCGAACGTGGTGATATTTGTGGATGTGGCGATATCTGATGAGATCTCGGCGACATTTGTGGCGACAATTGCGGGAATGGCGCTCGATACTGTGAATTCGATGGAACTAACGAGAGCAAACAGAAACAAATAAAAAAGAAGAAAACAAAAATCGTTTATTTAGATTATGCGCAATTTATCACAAATGATGTGAGTTTATTTTTGTGTACACCATTTCACTTGGAAGCTGCTTCAAAGCAAATTGCACATAGCGCAACAAATGTACTCAAATATTTGACTCTTGTCACAAATTAAATATAAAGAAAAAAAAGCGTTCGCTTCCATTTGGCAAACTTTCAACAGTTGCGCTCTTTTTCGAATCGTACAAACGACATTCTGATGACAACTAACCAACCAACAAGCAATTATATTTGATCTGAGAGACCATTTTTCTCTTCTCTTCTTCGTTTTTTGAACATTTTATGTTGGTTACTCTTGTTTGAAGTTTTGCGCAAAAGATTGATTACTATTACATCAGTTTGTTGTTTTAGCTGTTGCTGTTCGTTCGATAAAACTTACTTTGACTACTCGCTGCCTGTGGTTGTTTGTATGTTGGCTGCGTGGGGGCAGTTTGTTGTGTATGCTGCTGAGGAACTGCATAGGGGTGAGGATGTGGCATTTGCATTCCGCCGGTATTTCCGACCACCACATTATGTTGACTATCTTTTACCGTCGGTTTGACCGTTTCTTTTGGTGCCGTATGATGGCCCATCGCAGCAACATCATCGAAAAACATGCCCGAGTAACCGGGATGTGCAGTTTGTTGTGGTTGTGTAGGCGCTTGTTGCTGTTGCATCGGCGTCAAACTTTGTTGATTTGTCGGCTGATTCGCTTGTGGCATCGGCACGTGCACCTGTGACTGAAAATAGATACACACATGCATTGGCGTTAATTTATTATCACACGTATGCTCTCCCCTTTTTTCGGAGATATATTTTTAGGTTTTATTGGATTGTTCGACGTCATAAATGTGGTTTTTTAATGGATTTGTCAAAATAAATATTCGAAAAAGGTGATTAATGCAAGAAATTGCATGTAAGATTTTTTATGAATGATACATAATTCATGCAATAAAAGAAGAGTATTTTCTATGGGGAATACTCACTTGTTGTTGTTGCTGCTGCTGCTGCTGCTGCTGTTGTTGTTGTTGTGTAGGCATTGATGATATGTGACTTGGATTCAAGTGATTCTGTTGGCTTGGCATTTGCCCTTGTGGCTGCTGCTGCTGTTGCTGCGGAAAGAAATTGACAATTAAATACAAACGAAACGAAACGAAACGAATAAATCAATCAATTCCCATTGAATTAAGAGTTTCTCGTGTGTATTGTAAATCATGTATGAACTCTTTGCTAAATCGGAATTGATACAAATGTGTCTATTGTCGTTTGGGAATTGCATAACATTCGCTTGAGACTTTAGTTAAATTCATGTTTGAATTGCCTTTGAAAATTGATGATAACGATACCGTAATTAATATATATTAAGGTGCAAACTCGTGAATGATTTTAATTATCGCCTCAAACCGATAGAGATAGATGATTCAAAGCTAATATACTATATATATATATATGTTGGGCTATTGTTTCTCTTGTGCTTTCTTTTCGCTCTCACTCACCTGATAGTGTTGATAAGCGGCCGTTTGGTCCATTTGTGTGTGACCGTAGCCAACGTGTTGCGCTGATCGTGCCGTTTGATGTGGTATCGCCGCCGATGGACCATAGCTCGCATAGCTCTGTGTGTTTTGTGTTGCTTGCGGGGGATTCGAGTACATTGGATGCGCACTTTGTCCATAATGCTGCTGAGGTACACGCTGTTGCGCCTGTTGATTCGGATAGCTTTGCTGCTGAATCATGCCACTCATCATGCCTTGTTGCGACGGATATTGCATTTTCTGTGGATCCTGTTGGTAGGAAATATGTTGGCGATATGCAGTCGGCGCTTGTGCCTGAGTTTGTCTAGGCGCTTGTGAAACATTTGCATGGCTATGAGTGTAACCGGGATACGGTGATGGTTGTGTATTATTCCATGCATTTAAGTCGCCCATACCACCCATGACATGCTGTTCGGCCATACCGTACATGCCATCGGTAGGAGTTTGGTATGCAGGATACTGTGCTTGCTGTTGAGGTGGTTGTGCCTGCTGTTGCATCGGATGAGGGCTCCGATGTCGGGCATATGAACCATATCCATATCTGTTTTGCGTTTGATTATGAAAGAGAAAAAAAAACCAAACAGCAACATTTATAGCATAAATTAAAAAATCGCATTGAAATTCATTTAAAAACATTAGGCCAACTCACCCTTGATGGTTTCCGTGATACATATTCTGAGCATTTCCATCCATTTAGCTAAAAGTCGGTACAAATAAATATGTTTGTTTCCTTTATCGTTTTTTCTAACGTAAAGTGTGTCTAATGTTGGGGTAAAAGTGAACGAGTAAAGAAGAGAAAAAAAACCAAATAAATCAATAAAAAGCCTCATTTCGTACTTTGATTTGAAGTAGAAACAAAAAACAAACTTTGTCAAAGTTTCACGTACCTGCCACAATAAATAATTTAATTTAATTTCCATTAAACTCTAATTCGACCTTAGCGCTGTGTAATATACGACGACGCATACTTTTTCTCTGCGTATTTTAATGCACTTTTCAAATCAGTTTTCAATTCGTTTGATTTTGTTGTATTTTTGCCTTCAATTTGTGTGTGTGTGTGTGTGTTTGCTTTTTTTGTTGGTTATTTGTTAGAAAAAGAAGCAATAATTTGTAGCTGCTTAACTAAAATATACTAAAACACGCGAACAGAGTTTGTTGTTTTTGCGTTTCTCATGCGTCTAATTTGATCAAATGAGATGTGGCGCGTTGCTTGGTCGTTCGATTCATTTAGAAGTGAAACCGTTTCAAACCAATCGCTTCGTTTAATTCTTTTTATTTATTTAAATTTTTTTCTTCGCTCTGTCGTTAGTATTTTTTTCCTCTTGCTTTCTACGTTGAACTTGTGTTTAGTAGTAGTAAGTGCTCAAGTGTGTGTTTATTAGTGTATGTTCAATATTTGTTGGTCATTAAATGAGATACAGCGACTTCATTTTCATATATTTGTCGCTGCTGGCGCCTAATTAGTGTTCTAAAATCACAATTTCGATCGGTTTAATTGTTGCCATATTACAGGTCTCCATGTTGGTTGATCTGAAATGAAAGAGGAAAATATGGATTTTAGACTGAGAATGAAAATAGAACAACGCATTTTGTCGTTGGTAACAAAAGGGAATTTATTATTTCATAGAAATTTCTAAAGTCAACTAAATTTCATTTCAAATTCTTATTGTTTCTGTTCTGCTTAACCAACGCTTTAGCATTTTTACATCGTGCATTGAAACAAACAAGTTTAAATTAAAAATCGGACACACACACACACACACAATTTTTGTGCTACTGTTGATGATGAATTTTGCAGCAAACGCTGAAGGGGAAAAGCTCTACGCTTATGAATATCAAATGGCAACATAAAACGTATAGCCATACCCCGTCAGAATTGCTCACCGTTTGTTCATAAATGTATGCCCGATTATTTTTCCATTTGTTTCAGTTGTTTTTTTGTTGTTGTTATTTCGTTCACATATTTGTAATTTTCCACCGCCTGTCCCAGTCATAATATATATATCATATAATGTGACGCGAGCGAGTACTCAAAGTTCAAATGCACCTTCAAAGTTTCTTCTTCTTCTTCTTCTTCTTCAGCTTTTTTTCCTACTCTCCATTTAAATTATGCATACTGGCTATATTATTAATTCGTGTCTTTATATCGTTCAAAATGTGATATTTGAATTCCATTTGTGTCTATGAGTCGTGTGTTGCCAGACAGAATGCCATCATATATATGACATTCGGAAGAGAGAGAAAAATTTATTTAAAGCGCTTTAATAATTCAGCCATTGGTTATTTATTGGTGTACTTCAAGTTATGACACTAATCATGCACAGTCAATATCATCGCGGGATAAAACAGCTAACGAACGAACGAACCACCACCACCACCCAATCAATTGATCATCACATTCGTAAATGTTCGAGAATATAATGGCGACATATCGCCGAACTAATAAAAATCGATATCGCTTCGATATAATTGATGCGCAATGATATGAAAAACCTCGGTAAATGAACAACATGGAACCCAACACACCGACTATATATTTTTTATTGAATTTGAAATATATTCGGGCTATATTATCTTTGCATCTATTTTTGTGTTTATTTGTTTTCTGCCATTTTTTGTGTTTGTTGTTTTTTTATTCTGCTTCGTCTGATAAGTCTGTGTGGGCTGTGATGTTTCTCAGAATAATGGAAAGAAAAGAGACACGATTACTCAAATCGAGCCAAAGAATTTAATAAACAAACAATTACCATGACTTCAACATTTATAACTTTTTTTCTGATACATTTTTAATGCGAATTGATCGAACGATGTACGAATCGTGTACATATATGTATAAATACCAACATAAAATAATCGAAAAGAAATTAGATAGATGGAATTTTCTTTTGTATATACCGTTCAATTCGAAATCGACATGTGATTGTCGACATCAGCGAAAAATAAATTCGAAAAACGACACCAACCAAAACAGACTTGAAAAATAATAACAATTATTGAATTAAAATGATTTGTGAGCGCATTTACTGTCGGAAAAAAGACAGAACGGGCAGCGAAAAACAGCGACGACCAATTCTCCAGCCATATCATTTCAAACAACTAATTTCGTATGCGAACATCGGGCAATAAAAATCAAACTGTGCGTATAGAATATGGAGAAAGAGCAAGAGGGAAAAATGTAACATTTGAAAATGTCGATATACGCGCGGATTGCATCCATGTCTTTTGTCTTCGTGTGAGCCCAACGAACGAACGAACGAACGACGACAACGACAACGACGAATAAGAACACATTTAGACCGACATATTTACTTTAAATGTGATGTAAAGGTTGTGTGCGAGTGATTTGCTTTTTTGGATTATCGATTTTTTCCACCGCGCTTCATCACGCCAAATTACGAATCGTATCTGTGTGTACATTTTATGCGGCATTTTGACATCGAAGCGGTTGACTTTCTCTCAACTCAAACACACTTTTATTGGGAAAAAAATCGGAATAAAATGTTTTCAAAACGTTTGGATTTTTGACAAAATTCATTTTTTCTGTCGAGAAAAAAACGAAATCATTTCAATTGGATGATGAAATTGAAGAAAAAAGTTATGAAATATAGCGTCTGTAAATTGACTCTCTTGAGTTAAAGGAAAATATTATCAAGTGGATAAATGAGAGGAACCGAAGAAGAAGCTGAAATAGGAGCAAAGAGTATTGTATCGTCTGTCGTTTGATTTGCCTTACGCATACAGCCGCAAATCATGTATACTCTAAATCGATCGACCAACCGAGAACAACGAAAAAATGAGAATATTTTTTGGAGTTCGCGTTAAAGTATACAAATATAAAGCGACAAATGTATCAACGCCAAGTCCATAAGTGAGAACGGAGAGCATAAGACAAGAAACGAATAAAAAAACAAACGCACGCACGGATAAAAAAGAACTCATCCGAGTGTCAGCACACCACACCGCATTGCTTCGAATGAAGAGCCGCGGAGTGAGTTAGTGAGTGAGAGAGAGAGAGAGAGAGAGAGCGAAAGAGTGTGTATGTGTACCGTTTGCGCTGGGCTATTTGAGCGCGTTGAGCACACGATATGTCGTTTGGTGTGTGAAATTTGAATTTTTCCTCCCTCTTTTTCAACACCGAGCAACTCACTCACAATTCAACATTCGGCTAGGTAGAGCTGAGCATCGAATCAAGAGATATCAATTGAGCTCTCGTTGCTCATAAACGTATAGCGTACGTATGGTTGAGCAGCGTGTTGTTGTTGTTGTTGTTGTTGCTGCTGCTGCTGCTGCTGCTGGTTGTTGTTTTTTTTTCGGGTCCTGTGTGCTCGAAATACATTCCGCACATATAATTTTCATGGATTCACCTTGCACACATAATTTTTCTTTCCCCGCATGACAAATAAGAAGCATGTACACATAACACACAGCGGATTGCATGGATGGTTGGTTGGTCGGTCGGTTGCTTCGCCGTGCTGCTGCTGTTTGCCGTTTCGATTTCGCGTAACTTCTCCATTTCTCGATGTGAACTGCAAATGATACATGTGCTGTAAGTGTGCATGGAGAAATACCAACAACAATAACATCAACAGCAGCAGCAGCAGCAGCAGCGACAATAACAACAACACCAAAACCATATTCGATTTAAATCGCCATTTTCATTTCGGCTTGATTCGATATATGTACAATATATACACTGTGTCGGTGTACGTAGCGGTGGTTCGCGCGCGAGCGACCGGAGTTTCGATATATGGGTATATTTCGTCATGAGACAAAGTACAAAACGCGTTCGGTCGATTGGGAGACGGAGCGCAAAACATCAAAATTACTATGAGAATTATTCAAGCATTGGCGCACGACGAACTCTCGTTCGAACGGGACAGAACAGAATGAACCGAAAAAAATGATGATTGGATAAGTGTATGAATGAATACAACAACAACGACAACAACAATAACATCGACATGGAGAAAAGAGAGAAGGAAAAAAAACGTAACAGCGACCAGCGACGACAGATTCGGAGACCGAAATGAGAAGGAATTTTTTTTCAATTAATTTCAACATTGCTGGCATTTTGCTTATTGATTTTGTGTGTCTCTCTCCAATTCCGAAATTCTTTTGTTCATTCGGTGCGAGTGTCCCGACAAGAGACGAGTACCGATACAAATAAGCAGTAGCAGTAGCAGTAGCAACAACAACAACGGCTATAACACAAAATCAGAGACACAAAAAAGTAGTATTGAAATGAGCCGTCGTCGTCGCGAATAAAAACTGTTTCGCTAGCACTTAATCGTTGAGCTGGTTGATTTTAATAATAGAATTTCAAGTGAAACCGGACAAACGAAATGGAAGAAAAAAATATGGCAAAAAATACATTTTAATATTGCGCATAAATCAATCAACATTGATATGAATCATCAATTGGATGAAGCGAGACACAATGCAGAAATTAACAAATGATACCATTAAATTGTGCTGTTGGTTGCATATGAACAACTGCGGCAGCAGCGACAGCAGCAGCAATCAAACGGGAGGGCACTGCCGTACACAAAATGGTTTCATTTTTTGAGCAACTGTATACCTCAATTCAAAGAATTCACTTTTTTTTCACTCTACTTGCTCTTTCTCTCTCTCTTCGTTCACATTGCCGTACATATTTTTACACACCAAATCGGAGTGTGTATGGCAATTCATATTTTTTCTGCTTCTTCTTCTTGTTTACGTATCTTTTTTTTCCCTGTATTTACGATAATTCTATACATTTTAATACGTATTGCATGTAATTTGATTTGGTTTCGTTCTGCATTCGTGTTACGAAAAGAAATAAAAGAAAAAACTTTTTTGCATATTATGTGTGAGAGAGTGAGCCATGGAATCGAGCGCGTATTTCAGTGCTCGCATAAGTAATAGATCTCTTTTTTTCTTGTTAGCCGTGTTTGCCAAAGAAGGAACAAAATGAAGAAGTGGTCGCCATTGATGAAAGACGACATGAGCAGCGACAACCATGACTACGATGACGACGAAAATGTGGCAGACAAAGACAACATACATATCGAAATAAAAATCCGATGAAATTATAAGAATAATTGTAGCAAACGTTCTCTCTGAGTGTGCACTGTGTATATTTCAAATGCTGCTGCTGCCGTTTTTTTTCCTTCTTCTACTGTTCAGTATATGTGTATATTTACGTTTATGCTGTGAACTGCGGTGGCGACCGCTACTTTGAATGCTGTCTACTGTTGATGTATGAGTGACTGGCTGGCTGAGTAAGTGTAAATGTGTATGAGCAAAGCGAATCGAATCGAATGTATGTATGTCTATATCTATAGCGCTGGCAATACACAAAAAACGCATACATTCACATCGCAGAGCCGAAATGATACCGATACGTATAATGTGCGACCGTTTTGTCTATCCTCTCTAGCGCGTCGTTCGGTTTCTGTGCGAGTGTGTTTATGTATGTTTTTACACACGATTCTTCTGCTTTTTTCGCTACTTTCTTCTTCTTTTTATTTCGATTCTCTCTTCTTTTT